ATATTTTATTGGGTGAATGTGTGGTAGAGAATCTTACTATAGGAAACAATTTTTTAGATTAATGGTAGACAAACAGGAGTTTAAAGTGATCTATTGAATCAAATTTCACCAATGGATCAATAAGAGACCAGTATCATTACTATTTGGTCCTACCCCAATATCTACCTCATTCTGTGGAGGCCCACCAAATTTATTCCCCAATTTCTTAAGGCCCATAGAGATTTTGAGAGAAATTTTGGATAGTCCTTTTGGAGTGCAAATTAGTAAGAACATGTTTCACATCAGACAAACTAGCTCAATAACTCCCTTTAAAGCAAAGCATTATGAAATGTAGAACCACCATCTACTAACCAACATAAATAGCTACATTTATAGTTCTACCCCACCAGAATATAATATATAAAATACAAAATGCAAAATTCATGGTAGGCAAAAGGCCACAAAATATGATTTGATCATCCTGATTAACTAAAACATAAAAATCTAATTCAAAAGTACCACTGTTGTGTATATTCCACTGTATTATGCTGTATATACAAAGCATGTAAAGTTACAAAAAGGAAGATGGCGTGAAAAATNCACTGTATTATGCTGTATATACAAAGGATGTAAAGTTGCGAAAAGGAAGATGGCGTGAAAAATAAATACAGAACAAGGAAATTGAAATTGCTCATCTCAGCATATTGCCCTTGCCCCATCACAATCAAAAATCATAATCTATATCTGATACATTTTGAGAGGTTGATTTTTTTATCAGGTGACCTTGCTCGTCGTACAGATCGAGGTTTTCACAGGGAGCTGGGAATACGGTCCCTATAACACGACCTTCAACAAAAGCACACTGGAATATGTGCTTCTTTTTATAAGTAATTCCTACCGACATATCCCAGAAAGTGACATTCCTGACAGGAATTTCTTCACTACCTTGAATACGGACCGGAACACGAACTCCCTCGCCGTGTATTGAAGTGTAGCTTATGTCCTTCAGTATTGGAAAAGCCTTAGGGTCAAACGCTGCATCTGGATGTTCATTGTAATCTGTCTTGATGACAATCCCCACGCGAACATTATCAAATGTCAGATTCCTATAAATTATATTTCGAACATATCCTCCTCTTCCGGGGGCTGTCTTGATCCGAACAGCACGTCTGGAGTTCCATATGAGGACATTTTCCACAGTGACATTTGACACCCCACCAGACATCTCACTGCCTATTGATATGCCTGCACTGTTATTCAGGAAGGTATAATTCAATCACTATCTAAACGTGTGCATCGTAAACAGTGTTACATCAAACGGAATGAAATCCATGACATGTTTCAATAGAAGCAAACAACAAAATGTTAAACTAGACATTCATCTAAAAATGAAGACTATGTACATCTATAAGCTTGTAAGAAATTGAAACTGGCTGCAAAGTAAATACATATGCAGCCTACAACCAGAATAGAGAATTTCGTGATAAAAGAGTACATGGAATCTCTCACCTGACCATGGAGCGAATAACAAGGTTTCGGATCAGTATATTCACTGAAGGCCGTCGATAAGCTATCCCATATTGATCCCAGCCACTCTTTATTGCTATACCATCATCTCCCACACTTATGTAACAGTCCTCAATTACCATATCTTCGCACGAATCTGTTTAACCGAATGAGATGATACAAAAATAAATACATAGGTATAAAGAAGCTACGCAAAATATGAATATCCACCACGATAGCAACAGTAGAAGTATGGTAGGTGCTGTTAATTGCATTTTCAGCATTGAGATCATAAATTCAAGTACAAAACAATAGGTAAGGCTTGTACATTCAATAACCAGATAGAAGACAAAGCAAAAGAACAAACTTACCTGGATCTATGCCATCAGTATTTGGAGCTTCAAAGATGGGTGCCAAAATTGTAAGATTTCTAATTGTCACATTCTTGCAGTCGTAGGGATGTAGAGTCCAAAAGGGAGAATCACGTAATGTTATATTAGATATCAGAATATCCCTAGACCACATAATCTGCACAAGCGGTCCTCTGGTGTGGTTAAGAAGCTTCTGTCGGTACTTCGTCCACCACGTTTGACCCTGGCCATTAATGGTGCCGTTATGCCCTGTTATCAGGAATAGTATACATGCATTCAGACGTATAGCATATAATTAAATTTACACAAAGCACCATCACAATCTTGACTATAAGACTTAAACCCATGGATGGTAGAAAAAGGTTGGTGCATCACCAGATATCAATTTAGATTTATTGGTTTCTATATGTGAATAGATCAGGCATGACCATCCATATGCATGACCAAAAAGAAATTGAGACTTTCTGAGCTTCCTTTGCTCACGAAACTAGGGTATCTTTGAAGGAAACATACAAAGTCAGTCAGGGAGACAGAACGAGGTAGTCGTGTTCCATGTCGAACAGACATGGACAGGGTGAGACAAGATGACAAAGCCTCATGACATGGGAAACCTTCTTTATCAAAGCTTTCGTAAATGCGTGCATTTGTGTGTGTAACTTTAAGCTTAAAAAGCATTTACCAAGTAAAATGTAAGCAAATACATAGATAACTAAATCAGCGCCCAAAGTGTGTCCAGCAAAAATAAACTACCAAGTTAAATGATAATGATTTCACATTAAAAGTTTTCAATCTCAGCAAGACATTGAAGTATTATATATTTCTTATTACCACTTAAAATGTTTATAACGTTCCCTATCCCAAAAGAAAATATCATTAATACCAATTTACAAAGATATCTGAGAACCAAGAGCATTGTGGAATTATTATTCTTTAGTTTATTAGCTTTTAAAGTTTTAGTTTATTCTCCTTTTAATGCAGAACAAGTTTAGGTTGCAAGTTGCATTGACATGCAGCTGTATCTATTTCTGATATGGGAGGAGTATTTGTTCATTTTAGATGGAAAAGTAACTTTCCTACTTCTAAGCTCTTTTTTAACAACCAAATCTAATCAGTGGAGTACATTTTACCTGAATTTAACATTTGATTGGACTAAAATGAAGGGAATTGAAGAGTACCCTCTTTCTACACTTCCCTAATAACAAGCAATAATGTTCTTTCACAATTAAAAAGTCTACATAGAGTTGGTACTTGGTATAATAATGCCAAGGTCAATGGTTAAAATCATAAATCTGTACAAGGAACATCCTCATTACCTGAACCACTCACCTCGATCCCCAACCAAAATAATATAATATAATAAATGAATTGCTCTAAAAGGAAACAATAAACTCCAGCTAAAATGCTCACCTGTAATTACAACATCTTTGAGATTTTGACCATGAATTAAACTTCCATATCTCGGTCCGGGATGCTCTCTTCCATACCCATACGAAGGCAATGGAGGCATCAGAGGCCAATACTTCTCATCCTACAGAATATTGCAAATGGAAACAGAAACAGAAACTAATATTCTCAATTACAAGACTCATGAAATTTTGAAACTTTCAGGGCTTGTACAACTTTTAAGCAGAATAAAAATCATAAACGACGTTCAAGAAATATTACATAAAACATGTCAAATAAAGGACAGCAATGGTTTATCTTTAAAAAAAGCAGAGAATGCTACGTGCTAGAACATTGTTGAAATCACCAAGAGATATGATGCACATTTATCAGTTACCTTTAAGAACCAATTGCATCTATGCTATCTAGCATGAAAACCTGAAACCCAGCTTCAATAATCAACGAACAATTTTTTTAACAACAATAAAAGTCTTGTTTTTTTTCAGAAAAAAAAAATCCTCTTTGCATACCATATTCAATTCATCCACACTTCCAAAGGAGTAGAAATTTAATCAAACTTTTTTCTAAAAGCTTGGGTGTGGCCATGAACAATGGGAATATAAATTGAAATAACAATCGACATTCTATGTTCAGCTTTATTACTGAGTGAAACTGAACGAGACTTGCAGGATTTTCTCCCTAGATAACTATTATTATATGTAAGGTGTTTGAGAGAATTTGAGGCTGCACAGTACGTTCAACAGAAGAGAGATAATATAGAGAATGGGGGAAGGAGAGAAGAGAGAAGGGCTACAACAGAGAAGAAAACTTCTTCTACATCAGAATTTTATTAAGTTATTTCTTTAGTTAGAATTAGTTTTCGTTATACCCCCTTTTACTTGCATTAGAAATCAATCTTGAAGTAAGATGTTGTAAAAGCAGCTGGACTGTGTATTCAACGTATTGGAAGGTATGCCGTTCCACTATGACGTGATTTGCAGTCCAAGATCAATCACCAACAAGTTTCATGAATAAACACACATATATATTGCATGTCAAACCCTTCCTACTCTCCCCTAATTGAATGCAATCATGTAAAAGTGATTTATCATTTTTCAATAAATAGAAGTTAAATACAAGGTATCTGATAAGCCCCCGATAATATACACGTATTCTAGAAGGAATAAGAAGAATGGAGAGAGGGAAGGCAATAACAAATTCTGTTAGAGAGGCAGACAAGTGGTTACAAGCAAGTTAAATAGACGTGGAATGGAGAAGGGAGATAGCAATTAAGAAGTAAAACAGAAAACACACTGTGCAGAGAACAGCCCTCTCGAAAGGCTGATATCATTTCCTATTTTGTAATTCCTTCTTTCAATCAATACAGAGACTTACCCTCTGTTAATTGTTCTTTCTTAAACTTTTGCATTGTGATCCTATCAATTTGGTATCAGAGCACCATGACCCTTTCGGACCGAGTGGGCGATTTGGAGCAAAGAATGGAATTCCGAC